GTTCGCGTCAGACATCCTCGCAGACTGGGGGCGTTGCTTACGGCGTTGGCTCCCGCGACCTGCAATAGGCAGCTCAAAGGTTTCCAAGACGTCCAAAAAGATGCACCACGAGAGACTCCAAGGGGCCACGAAAAGACTTCTTGCCCACGAACCTGACATGGTGGCGGGATGCGACGACTGCCACGAGATCCACCACACCCTTGTGCTTGCAGAAAAGTGCTTGGCGTATCGAACTGTTGTTTTCCCCGTGGGTCCTTCCAAACTGTTCCCAATGTCCTTCCGCTCAACCCGCCGGCCACGCGGAAAATGTACCTATACCGTCGACTTCCCCGAACCAACATTGCACATATGTCCAAGACGGAGCCTCCTCTTCAAGTCGGCCAAGATGGCCTCAAGGCGGCAAACTCTCCAGCAGCCCAAGACGGCACCAGAGGCCTCCAAGATAGCTCCCAGACGGCGTACAACGCTACACATCGGTGCCCAAAGATGGGCTGTGGGGGCATCAACACGGCCCACGAGGATCCACATGCGGCTCATGAGACCTTCAGACGATTCGAAAGCGCCCCAACAGGGCTCGACAAAATGCTAAGGATGCCGTCTCCGGGCATCATCCCGCCCCCTCCTCCTCCTCCTCCTCCTCCTCCTCGTCTCGTCCGAAAGATCCTCCAGCTCCTCTCCTCCTCCTCCGCCCCGACAAGATTCAATCCGAAAGTGCCTGCGTGATGACGAGAGGGCCCCAGCCACAGGACGGCCTGAGAACGCGCCAGACGGGCGAGGAGAGCTCCACGACGGCCCAAGACACCCCGAGGGTCCCACCGAGCTCCCCTTGGAATGCCAAATGAGGACCCGCGGAGGCCTCCGGGAAGCTCAAAGGTGGCCCCAGGAGGCCTCCTCCTCCTCCTCCTCCTCGTCCTCTCTCCTCCTCCTCGTCCTCCTCCTCCTCTCCTCCTCCTCGTCCTCTCCTCCTCCTCCTCCTCGTCCTCTATCCTCCTCCTCGTCCTCCTCCTCCTCCTCTCCTCCTCATCCTCCAGGAAGCCCAAAGGAGGCCTCTGCTCCTCCTCGTCCTCCTCTCCTCTCGCGAGTTTCCGCAACTGCAGGGTGGACGCCCATTCCAATATCTTGGACAACCGTTCCCTGCCCCAACTTGGGGCCACATCGGCGACTTCAAAGGCAGGGGGGCGGCGGCGGTTCGCCGTAGGCGTCTTCGGTACAAGGCCAAGACCATGCGCAAACACAGTACGAACCCGAGCATGCAACAATCCTGCTTAACAAGATACCAGCGAGGAAATATTGGGAGCCCATTGGGGCCCCATTGGGGGTTACTTTAGGGAACCCTCGGGCTGTCTTGGGAAGCTCTGGTATGTCACTCCAGCGAACGGTCACCATCGCACGTGGCCGCACAGGGGTCCGAGGAAGCCCGGAGGAGGAGGAGGAGGGGGAGGAGGAGGAGGAGGAGGAGGAGGAGGAGGAGGAGGAGGAGGAAGAAGAAGAGGGAGGAGGAGGGAGGAGGAGGAGGAGGAGGAGGAGGAGGAGGAGGAGGAGGAGGAGGAGGAGGACCCTCAGACGACAGGCGAGCGCCTCGCGGGCCTCGAGTCCGCGGGGAGACAGGGCGGGGGACGTGGCAGCCCGTGCCCCTCCCAGGCCATCCTGCTCGGGGCTGGCAGCGCTGACCTGCCCAGGAGTGCTGCCGCCCCCTCCTCCTCCTCCTCCTCCTCCTCCTCCTCTCCTTCCCCTCCTCCTTCCTCCTCCTCCTCCTCCTCCTCCTCCTCCTCCTCCTCCTCCTCCCGTCCCCTCCACACTGCCGCTGCCGCTGGGAAGGGCCGATCACGCGAGGACACCATGCAGAATAACCAGCAGGGGCGCACGCGGAACACGGGAGGACCCGCCACGGCGGCGGGGTAGCACGAGTTGGCTGGTGAAGGGAACCGCCCGTGCCCTAACTGACAGCCGTGACTATCCTCCTCCCAGTCTGGATTCCCCCAGATCTGGCGTCGCAAGAAGAAGGCAACATCGCAAAACATAGCCACCAGAGCCCCAGACATCTGAGTCCTGCATCGTTCTTCGACCCCGATCGATCTGTGAGGGTCCCGGGGCCCGAAGCCAGGCGAACACGCGCGCTTTGCGAAGACCGCAACGCCAGGATCTCAGGGTTCGCCTCACAGCCCCTCCTTCTCCAACTCTTGCCATCGCTCGAGCATCCATTCCGCGTGGCCTGTTCGGTGACGTGCCTCCCTTGTTCCGCGAAGGTGACCCGAAGCTTAGTGGGCCCTGGAAACGGCAAGGCCGTTTTTTAACCGGTTACGTTTTGCCGTTTTTGTTACCGGTTCCAACGCCGCTTTTTTACCGGTTCCGTCGCAGTTTTTTGACCGGTTCCGGCTCCGGTTCCAATCCTGGAACCGTTTTTTTGACGTTTCCGGTCGCCGTGTTTGTTACCGTTTCCATTTTCAAGGGACATAATTTTGGAAACGGCCCACAAAGACCCGAGGTGCTCCTCGCCGAGGAACGCGTGCACGCGCCCGGGCGATGCCAAACCTGCCAACAGCCGCGCAGCGTGGGACTCGGCGAGGCCCTCGCGGGGCCCCCGCGGTCGGCCCCGCGAGAGCCGCGCTCCCCGCGCCCCCGCTCACGGCCCCCCGGGCCCGGCAGCGGGCTGCCCAGGACGAGCAGGAGAAGGCCCCTCCCACATCCTCGCCATGGCTCTGACTCTCCTCCTCCTCCTCCTCCTCCCTCCTCCTCCCTCCTCCTCCTCCTCCTCCTCCTCCTCCTCTTCCTCCTCCTCCTCCTCCTCCGGGCAGGCCGAGGAGCGAGGAGGAGGTCCCTGGAAAGACGTGGAGGACGGCCCTCCTCCCGGCGGCGCCCGCCAGCTGGGGCCATCGGCGAGAGCAGGACGACCCGCGACGACGAGGCAGGCGGCACGGCGACGGCGACGGCGCAGACGGCGCAGGCGGCCGCGCCAGCGGCCACGGCGACGGCGACGACGACGACGACGCGTGCGAAAGGGCCCCGCCGCTCGCGCGCGCGCGCACGCCCGCCTCCAGCGCCGCCGAGCGCGAGCGGGCCTGAGGGCGGAGGCCCGCGGAGGCTCGCCGCGGCCAAGGGGCAGCCGGGCCGGCTCGGGGCGCTCGAGGGGGGACACGGACATCTCCTCCTCCCCCTCCTCCCTTCTCCTCCCCCTGCCTGACCCTCCTCCCCCTCCTCCTCCTCCTCCTCCTCCTCCCTCCTCCCCTCCTCCTCCTCCTCCTCTCCTCCTCCTCCTCCTCCTCCTCCTCCCTCCTCCTCCTCCTCCTCCTCCTCCCCTCCTCCTCCTCCTCCTCCTCCCTCCCCCCCCTCCTCCCTGTCTCCTCCTCCTCCTCCTCCTCCTCCCTCCTCCCCCTCCGCCTCCCTCCTCCTCCTCCCCCTGCCTGTCTCCTCCTCCCCCTGCCTGACCCTCCATCCCTGCTTACTGTGATGATTCCTTCCTGTCGCAGCCCCACACGTGTTGACAGGGCGGGCAAGGCGATCCACCTGAAACTTCCTCGCCCCTTCTGATCCCGAGGCGTGGAATTCGCAACAGCTTGTAGTGGAGGCGCAAGAAAAGACGAGTGCGGAAGATTGGTGCCCACGAAGGTCGGAGGACGCGGCAAGAAGAGGATGATGATGATGATGATGATGATGATGATGATGATGATGATGATGATGATGATGATGATGATGATGATGATGATGATGATGATGGTGGTGGTGGTGGTGGTGGTGGTAGTGGTGATGATGATGATGAGGAGGAGGAGGAGAGAAGGATAATAAGGATCAGAAGGAGGCGGAGGTGCAGGAGGAGGAAGAGGAGAAAAAGAACGAGATGCGAGAAGACCCCCTCCGTTCGCGGCTGGCTGGCCTCTGCGGCCTCCGCCGCGACGGCCTGGAGCGCCTGGCACGCCGGAGGGCGTCGCGGGGAGGCGTCGCTTTGGGGGGGAGGCATCGCGGGGGGGCGTCGCGCGGGGGGGGGTCAAGACGAAGGCAGGTCGTATCGAGCGCCGCGGCCTGCTCAGAGCACTCCGGAAAGCTCTGCGAGCGTTTCCGTTGGCCCTTCGTCGGTCTCATCCAACATTCTGCTCATCCCGCCCCGCCCCAAGCATAACAAATGTGTGTGTGCGTGCTTGACATCAGTCTTGTTCTCAAATCAAAGAACGACGGACCTAGGACGGTGATGTCTGTCGGTTGCTCGGCAGACACCGAGCAGGTCCGAACTGACCAGATTAGGTCGGAACGCCTGTGCACGCCATCTGTTTGCAGACGCTTGCAGCTCTGCCGCTGGCACTTCGTACCGAATATCTGGCGGCAGCGCAGGAAAACGGAACCAACAATAACCATACGACCACCCTCTGGGTGATAAGGAGATTCGGGACGCCGGAACCAACACCTGACTCAGTCGATCTCACTGTCGATCTCACTGGCGATCTCGAAATCGATCTCACAATCGATCTTACTCGATCGACCTCACTATCGATCTCGCCATCGATCTCACTATCGATCTCACGATCGGTGTCACGATGCCTCAAAATCGATATCACCATCGATTTCACGATCGATTTGATCGGTCTCACGATCGATCTCACTATCGAATTCACAACCAATATCACTCGATCGATCTGATGATCGATCTCACAATCGATCTCACAATCGACCTCACAGTCGATTTCACTAACCCCGTGACTAGCGATCTGACAATCCATCTCACAATAGTTCTCACAATCGATCTCACTATTGATCTCGCGATCGGTCGTAGCACCGATCTCACACTCGATCCCGTTATCGAACTCACCATCGATCTCACAATCGATCCCACGATTGACGCATCATCGATCTCGCTATCGCTCTCACCATCGATGTCACAATCGATCTCACGGTCGAGCCCTGTGGCCCGACGGGGGCTCTCCCGGGAGCCTCTTGGGGCTCCGTGGGGCCCCTCTTGGGCGGTCTTGCAGGCCGTGCGAGGCCCTCTTTTCAGCGGGGAACTGGTTTCGCCCCCTCCAGGCCTCCTGAGAGTCTCCCTGGGCCTCCCTTTTTTGCTTGAAGCTGCGGCCACGAAGAACACTGGGCGGACTGTCAACGAAGACTGTCCACGAGACTACTGCCGTCAACGCGATCAGCTCTCACCCGCGACGGCCAACCAAGGCTCGGCGAATGCCGCTGCGCATCGTTCCGTGGGCGCCACTGCTGCCATGGCTAGCTCCTCTGGGAGCATGTAGGCCCGCCCCGACGAAGCTCGCCCGAGTGGCCCAGAGGCTCTCCGATCCTGACTGGTACCTCGACGTGCCCCAGTCCTTGGCGGCTAGATCGGGGAACGCGGCATCGGAACGACCTGTCTGAAGCCCGTGCTCTATGAGCACCATCTTCCACTCCTCGAAGTCGTCACACTCTTTGATGGCAGGGTCGCCCTCGCAGACATCGTCGCTAAGAGTCTTGACATCCTGCAATTCGAAGACCGTGTTGCCATCGCCGGTAGTGTACTTGGCGTTGCTGCAATAACCGAGTGAGAGCTTTCCTTGAGGCTGCGTGCAGATCTTATCTTTCACATCTGCGTCAGAGGTGCCGAGAGTGCTCATCTTCAGACGGATGCTGAGAAGACCATCGTTCACACTGTAAAAGTTTGGCTCGAGAATGCCGTACTTGATCTGACAACACTTGATCCCCGCCATGCCTGCAACATCTTCGGTCGAGTTCAACGCTAAATCAACATGCATGAGGTCTCTTGTGCAGAACACGGGCGCCAACATCCAGCTAACCAACAGCCACGAGACTGCATTCACATATAGGCGCGCCATGACGTTAGAAAGGCCTGGGATGTGCTGCTTCTGCAGCAGATTTACACACACACACACTTGCCTGAAAGAGAAACGCTTGATCCAAACTGGCTACGGAAAAGAGTCGTCTTGGGCCTCTTGGGGGCCTTTTTGGGTCGTGACGAGGCCATCAGGACCTCTCTTGAAGCGGTTTTACACCGTCTTCGGGTCCTCGTGTGTCTCTCTGACGCCGTCTTGATGGCAGATTTGGCCGTCTTGGAAGCCACCTGGGCCGTCTTGAGGCCTCCTGGGAAAAAAACGCCGCCAACATGACCCCCCGGAGGGCGCGCTCGAAATCTCGGTCCGGCACGGCTCCCCCGGACCCCCCCATTGGGGCTAAAACTCTGTACAGAACTTCTCTCGCCAGCGCTCTGTCCGTCATTCTTCAGTGCTTCGGGGATGGACAGACCCCCCTTTAGTAAAAGTGGTTTAGTGAAAACGACCTGAGGCCCAAACCTGGCGGGCACAAGCCTGGAAAATAACGGCCACGGCGCCCTCTCGAGAACCGAAAACGGACAATTCACTAATCGACGTGTCACTGTTGGGGGTTCTGTCCACCCCCGAGCGCTTTCTAAGGCCGTCCCCATCCCCTCCACGCGCGCCCCCTTGAAAGATGGTCCCCCCTCTCCGCAGCCGGCCTAGGGTCATTTTCGATCACAGACAACTGGTTCGAGAAACCTTGTTCCCAGGGAGACCCCGCCCCCCGGGCGAACGAAACGGGGGGTGGGTGGCTCATGGGGGGGACGCATTGACCTGGAATCGTCGATGCATTGCCGGCATCGGGGACGCACTGGACCGGGTCAGTGCAAACCCAGGTCAATCAGGCGCTGAAGGATCCTGCAAGATCCTGCAGGATAACCTGGTTCAGTGCACCCCTGGCGCTGCAGGGTCCTGCAAGTTCTGGCGCTCCAGCTGACCCCCGTTTGCATTGACCCCCGTCTCTGGGGAGAGCAAAGGTTCCCACATCGATCCCATTATCGAACTCACCATCGATCTCACAATCGATCCCACGATTGATCGCACGATCGATCCCGACATCGATCTCACCATCGATGTCACAATCGATCTCACGGTCGATCTCACTCGATCCATCTGACAATCGATCTCACGAGACACCACGGGACACCGCGCCACGGGACACCGCGGCCCCGTGGCCCGACGGGGGCTCTCCCGGGAGCCTCTTGGGGCTCCGTGGGGCCCCTCTTGGGCAGTCTTGCAGGCCGTGCGAGGGCCCTCTTCAGCGGGGAACTGGTTTCGCCCCCTCCAGGCCTCCTGAGAGTCTCCCTGGGCCTCTTTTTTGCTTGAAGCTGCGGCCACGAAGAACATTGGGCGGACTGTCAACGAAGACTGTCCACGAGACTACTGCCGTCAACGCGATCAGCTCTCACCCGCGACGGCCAACCAAGGCTCGGCGAATGCCGCTGCGCATCGTTCCGTGGGCGCCACTGCTGCCATGGCTAGCTCCTCTGGGAGAATGCAGGCCCGCCCCGACGAAGCTTGCCCGAGTGGCCCAGAGGCTCTCCGATCCTGACTGGTACCTCGACGTGCCCCAGTCCTTGGCGGCTAGATCGGGGAACGCGGCATCGGAACGACCTGTCTGAAGCCCGTGCTCTATGAGCACCATCTTCCACTCCTCGAAGTCGTCACACTCTTTGATGGCAGGGTCGCCCTCGCAGACATCGTCGCTAAGAGTCTTGACATCCTGCAATTCGAAGACCGTGTTGCCATCGCCGGTAGTGTACTTGGCGTTGCTGCAATAGCCGAGTGAGAGCTTTCCTTGAGGCTGCGTGCAGATCTTATCTTTCACCTCTGCGTCAGAGGTGCCGAGAGTGCTCATCTTCAGACGGATGCTGAGAAGACCATCGTTCACACTGTAAAAGTTAGGCTCGAGAATGCCGTACTTGATCTGACAACACTTGATCCCCGCCATGCCTGCAACATCTTCGGTCGAGTTCAACGCTAAATCAACATGCATGAGGTCTCTTGTGCAGAACACGGGCGCCAACATCCAGCTAACCAACAGCCACGAGACTGCATTCACATATAGGCGCGCCATGACGTCAGAAAGGCCTGGGATGTGCTGCTTCTGCAGCAGATTTACACACACACACACACTTGCCTGAAAGAGAAACGCTTGATCCAAACTGGCTACGGAAAAAAATGAGTCGTCTTGTGCCTCTTGGGGGCCTTTTTGGGTCGTGACGAGGCCATCAGGACCTCTCTTGAAGCGGTTTTACACCGTCTTCGGGTCCTCGTGTGTCTCTCTGACGCCGTCTTGATGGCAGATTTGGCCGTCTTGGAAGCCACCTGGGCCGTCTTGAGGCCTCCTGGGAGAAAAACGCCGCCAACATGACCCCCCGGAGGGCGCGCTCGAAATTTCGGTCCGGCACGGCTCCCCCGGACCCCCCCATTGGGGCTAAAACTCTGTACAGAACTTCTCTCGCCAGCGCTCTGTCCGTCATTCTTCAGTGCTTCGGGGATGGACAGACCCCCCTTTAGTAAAAGTGGTTTAGTGAAAACGACCTGAGGCCCAAACCTGGCGGGCACAAGCCTGGAAAATAACGGTCACGGCGCCCTCTCGAGAACCGAAAACGGACAATTCACTAATCGACGTGTCACTGTTGGGGGTTCTGTCCACCCCCGAGCGCTTTCTAAGGCCGTCCCCATCCCCTCCACGCGCGCCCCCTGGAAAGATGGTCCCCCCTCTCCGCAGCCGGCCTAGGGTCATTTTCGATCACAGACAACTGGTTCGAGAAACCTTGTTCCAGGAGACCCCGCCCCCGGGCGAACGAAACGGGGGGTGGGTGGCTCATGGGGGGGACGCATTGACCTGGAATCGTCGATGCATTGCCGGCATCGGGGACGCACTGGACCGGGTCAGTGCAAACCCAGGTCAATCAGGCGCTGAAGGATCCTGCAAGATCCTGCAGGATAACCTGGTTCAGTGCACCCCTGGCGCTGCAGGGTCCTGCAAGTTCTGGCGCTCCAGCTGACCCCCGTTTGCATTGACCCCCGTCTCTGGGGAGAGCAAAGGTTCCCACATCGATCCCATTATCGAACTCACCATCGATCTCACAATCGATCCCACGATTGACGCATCATCGATCTCGCTATCGATCTCACCATCGATGTCACAATCGATCTCACGGTCGAGCCCCGTGGCCCGACGGGGGCTCTCCCGGGAGCCTCTTGGGGCTCCGTGGGGCCCCTCTTGGGCAGTCTTGCAGGCCGTGCGAGGGCCCTCTCTTCAGCGGGGAGCTGGTTTCGCCCCCTCCAGGCCTCCTGAGAGTCTCCCTGGGCCTCTCTTTCTTGTTTGAAGCTGCGGCCACGAAGAACATTGGGCGGACTGTCAACGAAGACTGTCAACGAGACTACTGCCGTCAACGCGATCAGCTCTCACCCGCGACGGCCAACCAAGGCTCGGCGAATGCCGCTGCGCATCGTTCCGTGGGCGCCACTGCTGCCATGGCTAGCTCCTCTGGGAGCATGTAGGCCCGCCCCGACGAAGCTCGCTCGAGTGGCCCAGAGGCTCTCCGATCCTGACTGGTACCTCGACGTGCCCCAGTCCTTGGCGGCTAGATCGGGGAACGCGGCATCGGAACGACCTGTCTGAAGCCCGTGCTCTATGAGCACCATCTTCCACTCCTCGAAGTCGTCACACTCTTTGATGGCAGGGTCGCCCTCGCAGACATCGTCGCTAAGAGCTCCTTGACATCCTGCAATCTCGAACTGACCTCGTGCCCCAGTCCTTGGCGGCTAGATCGGGGAACGCGGCATCGGAACGACCTGTCTGAAGCCCGTGCTCTATGAGCACCATCTTCCACTCCTCGAAGTCGTCACACTCTTTGATGGCAGGGTCGCCCTCGCAGACATCGTCGCTAAGAGTCTTGACATCCTGCAATTCGAAGACCGTGTTGCCATCGCCGGTAGTGTACTTGGCGTTGCTGCAATAACCGAGTGAGAGCTTTCCTTGAGGCTGCGTGCAGATCTTATCTTTCACCTCTGCGTCAGAGGTGCCGAGAGTGCTCATCTTCAGACGGATGCTGAGAAGACCATCGTTCACACTGTAAAAGTTAGGCTCGAGAATGCCGTACTTGATCTGACAACACTTGATCCCCGCCATGCCTGCAACATCTTCGGTCGAGTTCAACGCTAAATCAACATGCATGAGGTCTCTTGTGCAGAACACGGGCGCCAACATCCAGCTAACCAACAGCCACGAGACTGCATTCACATATAGGCGCGCCATGACGTTAGAAAGGCCTGGGATGTGCTGCTTCTGCAGCAGATTTACACACACACTTGCCTGAAAGAGAAACGCTTGATCCAAACTGGCTACGGAAAAGAGTCGTCTTGGGCCTCTTGGGGGCCTTTTTGGTCGTGACGAGGCCATCAGGACCTCTCTTGAAGCGGTTTTACACCGTCTTCGGGTCCTCGTGTGTCTCTCTGACGCCGTCTTGATGGCAGATTTGGCCGTCTTGGAAGCCACCTGGGCCGTCTTGAGGCCTCCTGGGAGAAAAACGCCGCCAACATGACCCCCCGGAGGGCGCGCTCGAAATTTCGGTCCGGCACGGCTCCCCCGGACCCCCCCATTGGGGCTAAAACTCTGTACAGAACTTCTCTCGCCAGCGCTCTGTCCGTCATTCTTCAGTGCTTCGGGGATGGACAGACCCCCCTTTAGTAAAAGTGGTTTAGTGAAAACGACCTGAGGCCCAAACCTGGCGGGCGCAAGCCTGGAAAATAACGGCCACGGCGCCCTCTCGAGAACCGAAAACGGACAATTCACTAATCGACGTGTCACTGTTGGGGGTTCTGTCCACCCCCGAGCGCTTTCTAAGGCCGTCCCCATCCCCTCCACGCGCGCCCCCTTGAAAGATGGTCCCCCCTCTCCGCAGCCGGCCTAGGGTCATTTTCGATCACAGACAACTGGTTCGAGAAACCTTGTTCCCAGGGAGACCCCGCCCCCCGGGCGAACGAAACGGGGGGTGGGTGGCTCATGGGGGGGACGCATTGACCTGGAATCGTCGATGCATTGCCGGCATCGGGGACGCACTGGACCGGGTCAGTGCAAACCCAGGTCAATCAGGCGCTGAAGGATCCTGCAAGATCCTGCAGGATAACCTGGTTCAGTGCACCCCTGGCGCTGCA